AATGACGTGGTCAACGCTTCGGCCAAATGACCTTCCTAGGAAAACGTATGTTCTCATCACCTCCAGGAAAGTGTTTCGTAAAATCGTCCCTAACTGTGTCCTTGAAGACGCAATAAGTTTAGACTAGCCCTGACGAAGCCAGATATTTCTTGGTTAAGTTATAGAAAAGTATGAAAACACTACTGAATGTAGGGGTGTCCTCTTTAGTTGAGATCTAAAAGTTTGAAAACACTATTTAAAGTAGGGGTGTCCTCTTTAGTTAAGATCTAAAAGTTTGAAAACACTATTTAAAGTAGGGGTGTCCTCTTTAGTTAAGATCTAAAAGTATGAAAACACTATTCAAAGTAGGGGTGTCCTCTTTAGTGAGAATCTAAAAGTATGAAAACACTATTTAAAGTAGGGGTGTTCTATTTATCCAAGATCTTCGTAGCATCAATGACCGGTTGAAGCACAGGTTCAAGAGATTCTAATGTGTTTTATTCATTGTCAGTCAGATCAACGAATTCTCTGTCCGATACCTTTGTTATATTTTGGTCATGAATAACACCATACACATAAACACGCAATTTCAGAAGCCGGTGGATGATAAAGAATAACGAATCTCAGCTTGTTAGGACACCCTAGATCGGATATAACGGTTGTGTTACTCTCTCGTTAGCCCGGTGTGTTTTTTGGGGGCTTTAGTGACAATAAGAGAACGTGAGAAAGGAGCAACCAACTTTCTTGCAGATCCGAATGCTCTGGCCAAATTCTCGATACTCTAGTTTAAAACAAGCTATAGCGTAGAGTTGAGCACGTAACGAGTGGCATACCAGCTGCAGCCACAGACATGTTAGAAGTGTTTTCTGTTACCACGGAAAAAGTTTATGGCAGCTGGAGTTCCGCCATCAAAGCAGTTATTGATTTTTGCATGGTTCACTCCTCTGAGTGTGTGTGTGTCCTCCTGATTACGTGTGAGTACCAGCTTGTTATATAGCCCTCATTCAGAATTAACAAAATAAGCTGAGAGCCTGATGTAAATAGTAGTACACACACTTGATCATAATTCTGTCGCGAGTGCATTAGTGGATTGACTTATTAATGGTTTTTGTATTCTAAGGAAATATCCTTTGATAGAGTTTTACGAAAAGGTACAACATACTAGGTGTTCAAGGCATAAATAAAGTCCTTAAAACCCTGGCAGGTCTCTGGCACACATCAATTTCAATGTTCTCTGACGTCCATTTTGAGGCTTAACAATGAAAACATTTCAATGATTGTAAGCTTTTGTACTGTTTATCCCACGGCAAATTTTGTTGTCTTCTTGTGGACAACCTGTAGACTTTAATGTTCTATTTATTATTATTTATGTATTATTTGCCTTTAAAAATTAATATTGTGAATCAAGATAATAATTGTTTTCCAGTATTTACTATATTCATTGTAAATTTTGATTAATTTATTCATTTACTTTTATTTGATCCGAGAATTAGCATTTCTGGTAGTTTTAATTCTGTGTTTATATCTAAGGGGTTCCACGCTACCAGCACAAGTTCCCCAAGATCACACGTCGTCTTTTTCGTCATCACGTGTGCAATATTCGCAAATTTCTGATCAATTTTTATTGAACATTTTGATTTTGGATGACGGGAAAAATGAAGAAGAAATAAATGTATCTACATGTTGTAATATTTTCAAGCATGGAATAACGAGTGTCACAGTTTCCTGCTGGGGGTTACAAGGGTGTCAAAACGAAACAACAACAACGAAGTGCAGTCATCCTTTAAAGACTGTACATCACCTATATAATTAAAAGGGAAACGCGTGGGGAGGGTTTTTAAAACTTCATTAAACTATGAAAAAATTAAATTAGGGATAGGGAAGAACGAACGACATAACCAGACGCGTATGTCTAGGGGGGTATAGATAGTAGTACGCATTGTAAATGGAATGATAACTGGGGAATGGATCTGTCATTCTTCAGAGCCCCAGTGTTTATGTGTTAAGGTTTTGTGTGTGTGAACTAGTTCATTTATTTATACATACTTCGAGTACCGGTACCATCACCCTGTTGAGTACGGACCTGGGAGTAAAATCACCGAGTTGTAATACTTGCCCCCCAATACCCAGGTTTGAAAGATTCGCTAGATCTGATGTCTCTCACCAGATAAGTCGACACTTGGATTAAAGTGTCTTTCGTACTAGAGATGTTTGGTGGGTATTGCGTGTTGTGGAGTATGTTTAACCTCGCAGTCACTGAGACGCCCCACACGGCCATTAGATTCATTCAGAATTCTACACACCTAACCTCATACGTGAGGTCACTTAACTGATTTAATTACTTTAACCCTTCAACTGCGGTTGACGTCATATGATGCAATCATTTTCCGCACAACATTTTGTATAGCCCGCAGCAGAAATTTGCGTGGGGCGGTAGGCAGATTTACACAAGCCGCAAACCGAAGGGTTAAATAAACAGCACTGCCATTACATTTTATAAATACACAATACTGTGTAAAATCAAAAATAATGCTTGGAACCAGTGCTTCTAAACAACACAAATCGATTTGAATAGTATTTTCGACACGTTCACGTGTCCCAACGACTGTTTGATGAGAGAAACGCATAGTTTTTATTCTATGACGGAAGTTCCATGCTTTTAACGGCATATGACGTCACAGAGGGAGTTCAGCTTAGTGGTGTTTGAAGTATGGCAATCTTCGGTTTAACGAACCTTACACAGTTTTCTTTTGACGTAATTTCTAGTTTTATGTATTACTTTGGCTTATTTCCAGTTGATTTTATTATAAATATTCATCATGTGTAAATAAATAAACAAAAATTAATTGTTTGATCATTTTCAACAACCCATTAACTGCCAATGTGCCCACCCGCTAGTTTTTAGTGTTATCTGAAGTTCATTCATTGTAGTTGTACCTCATGATACCATGATAACCTGGTGAAACGTTGTTACCATAAGTATTATACTGTGTGTGCCAGGTAATAATTGAGTTTTTAAAGTTGTGTATTTGATTCCAAGTAATTATGTATTGATTTTAATATACCAAATAAACCAAAATCTAACCTATACATGTTAACTAATATCTCTAATAGATTAATATAGATAAAGCTGTTTTCTGATTATGTAACCTATATAAAAAACAGTGTGTGTCACGTCACGCTTGATTCCTTGAAATAGCAGTAGTCAGAAATGCATCTATCCAGATAGAACTGTTCGATTACTGTCTGCCTATTACAATTTTAGTTACGGGGATGCAAGGGAGCCGTGAGGGAGGGGGGGCGGGAAACCTTATAAGTGTAGCGAGTGTTGGGATTGAAAGCCTAGAGTAAAAACTTGGTGTGGGATCACCTAGCCTAGAGCCAAGTGCATAAAATTTATCACGAAAGCAAAAATATCGATTCGATTTTAAACTTAAATCGTTTCTGAATTAAACTATTTTCTGTTATATCCCCAACGTTTTTATAATCAACAAACCTC